TGACAAAAGCAGATCCAGCTACTTGGCCACAAATGACAGATTCGGTAAGCTGATTTTTGGGAGAAAAACAGTCCCTTTGTTAATTTAGAACAAGACTTTTCTCTTAGCGAGTGCAAAGGAAAGCAAGTATTAAAATCGTTGTTTGTTATCAAATGCCTCATGGGGAGTCACACCAGAGATCTTGGTTGATGTACAGTTCAACCCTTCCCTCCTTGTTCTGTTTCATTCATTTGCTTTTCCGAACAAATTCCTCATCTTCCTTTGCGAACTGTAAAACTGGGTTCACAAACTTTTTCCACTTTAGTGAACAAGTCTGCCCACACAAATGTTCAAAGGAATCGCTCACTGGATGGAACTTGCCGAATAATTAGAAAAGGGTCACACAATTGACAAAGGTATGCAAACCTGCTATCAACTGGACAAAGGTATGCAAACCTGCAGAAGGACATGTGGTGCAATATTTTGCATCATCTCTTAGATATTTTGCTGGACTTAGGTGAGAGGTGTTTAGCTTTCAGAGGTTCAGATGAGAAATTAGACAGTCCTCATAATGGTAATTTTTTGGGTTTACTGGAATTGTTTGTTGCAAGATCATGTGGAAGTTATTAAGGCCTGTACCGCAAAGGTATTCTTATCAAACCAAATTCAGAAGCAATTTATCAGTAGAATCACAAGAACAGTATGGCAGGCTATTTTCGACATGGTTAGGGATGCTAAATAATTCTCCATTATCTTTGATTGCACTCCAGACCTCTCCAAAATGGAACAAATGTCTCAGGTTTTAAGGAATATTGGGGTTTCAAAATGTGGAGCAAAGGTTGTTGAGAGCTTTGTAGACTTCATGAATATTCACCCCAAAGCTGGGGAGGGTGTTACAGGGGTTATTTTCAAGAAGATGAAAAAAGGACACTTTAGATATGGCTGCTTGCAGGGGTAAAGCTGTAACAATGGAGCCAACATGGCTGCAGCGTACAAAGGTGTCCAAATCAAATCCAGCAGTTAAATCAGTATGTGTCTTTCAGCTTCTGTGCTGCCCACTCACTGAATCTTTTTGGAGAAGCTGCTGTGCTGGTTGTCACCCTGGTTGTTCTACTTTTTGGAATTGTTCAAAAAGTGTATACCCTGTTTTCCACTTCTACTAGTGGTTGGGATGTGTTGAAAATCCATATTAGCGTTACATTAAAATGCCAAAGCACAACAAGATGGGCAGCAAAGCTAGAGGCAATCTGTCCACTACAAAATCAGGCTGAGGTTCAGATAAGACCAAGGCTTCACATAATCTTACGCCAAATCTTAAATCCAAAGCTGATAGCTTGCAAACGAACACTTCAGAGTTTTCATTTCTTGTTTTGGCCAAGATGTGGTAAACTCTCTTATCAAAAATCAACACTGTGAGCAAAAAATTGCAGCGTCTGGATCCTCACATTCAAACAGCTTGCAGGTTACTTGGTGGCCTTTGAGATGTTTTATTGGAATTGTGGTATTCTGGGTCTGTTGCACGTAAGAAAGCTACTATTATTTTTCATGTTGAAATGTTAGGAAGATCCACACAGTTCTAAGAGAAAGTATTTCAAAGGAGGAAAATAATACTAGGCAAACTTGCAAAGGATGACAGGTCATCAGATCCTGAAAAAGTTTTTGAATGTGAGGTTTTCAACCCCATTGCAGATACAATATTAACCCGACTGGGCAATAGAATGCGTAAGTACAATGGTGTCAGAGAAAGGTTTGCTTTTTTAGTGAGCAGGAAACTGAAAAGTTTCAGGAATGAAGACCTAAAAAGGCACATTCAAAACTTAGCAAGTAGCTACTCTGAGAATTTAAACTCAAGAGTTCTGAGAATGAGACTGAGCTCTTCATCATTATTTGCAAGTGAATCTTTAAGGATGACTTGGAAATGAAGGTGCTCATTGATCTTCTTAGCTACATTCACAAAAGATCTGTTGATGCAAGTTTTCCTAACACAGAAACAGCACTGCATCTTCCTGTAACTGCCTTCCTGTAACTGTGACTTCCCCTCTGCTGGGTGGGTGCTCGCCCACCCCCAACCTCTTCCCACCCTGGCACCGCCCTCACCCCACTCCCATTCCACCCCCTTCCCTCAAGTCCCCACCCCTGCCTTGCCGCTTCTCTGCCTCCCCCCGCCCTGAGCGCGCCGTGTACCTGCTCCTTCCCCCTTCCTCCTGGAAAACGCTAAGCGCCGCCAAACAGCTGTTAGGCATTGGGAAGCGCTGGAGGGGGGGAGAAGCGGGGATGTGGCGCGCTGGGGGGAGGGGAAGAGAAGGAGGTGAGGAGTGGGGAGCTTGGCTGCAATTTTTCCCCACGGGGTCAGCACCTCCCTCCCGCTCGCCTCCTTACCTGAATATCGGGACAAATGGCATCCCAATGGGACAAAGGGTTAAATATCCAGACAGTCCCGGTTTTATCAGGACATCTGGTCACCCTAATGATAACAAAACTGGCCCTGCTGCCCTTGTTAGAGTGGAGGACACTGAGAGGGGTGTGGTGTGAATGTCCTTTTGTGAATCAGATTTCCATAAAGGGATGTTGGATCCAGATTTCCTGCAGATCCACAGCCAGTGCTGCCATTTTAGGGCTTGACCCCTGACCCTTTTGCACCAATAGACCAGGGCAGAAAGAGGGTGCTTGTTCAGAACCACAAGTCCCCAAGCAGCTTTTCAGTTGCATGTTTTTGTCTAGTGCATTTTTAAAGATGAAGGGACCAAAATATTTCCCACAATCTAAGCTTAGTTTTCTGGATAAAATACCTAGTTTCCTCTTCCTAAAAAATCCATTACCTGTTTCCCTACTTCTCCTATCCCTTCCCAGTAACACCCAGCCCCTTATTGGCCAGAAATTTAGGGCCTGATTTTCAGACGCGACAAGCGCCAAAAATCTATTTGAAATCAACAGGATCTGTTGATGCTCAGCACTTTTGAAAATCAGCCCTCCCCCCCACCCCAGTGATTAGATACCACAGAGTTTGCCACCATGAACACCCCCAGGTGGCTTGATGATATATAAAATATAGATCTTTCAAAATCTCATAGCTAATTCCTTGAAACATTATCAAAAATACATAAAAATCATATATAATCCAGCCCAGTGACCCCTACCTAATAAAAATTTAATTTAACTTGACCAATCTGATTAGTGTATTCATGCTTTCTATTAGAGCTGTCAAGCGATTAAAAAAATTAATGGCAATTAATCGCACTATTAAACAATAATAGAATACCATTTATTTAAATATTTTTGGATGTTTTCTACATTTTCAAATATATGGATTTCAATTACAACACAGAATACAAAGTGTACAGTGCCCACTTTATATTATAAATGTGCATTGTAAAAAAACAGAATAGTATTTTTCAATTCATCTAATACAAGTACTGTAGTGCAATCTCTTTATCATGAAACTTGAACTTACAAATGTAGAATTATGTAGGGAAAAAATTGCATTCAAAAATAAAACAGTGTTAAATTTTAGAGCCTGCAAGTCCACTCAGTCCTACTTCTTGTTCAGCCAATTGCTCTGACAAACAAGTTTGTTTACATTTACTCATAGACTCATAGACTTTAAGGTCAGAAGGGACCATTATGATCATCTGGTCTGACCCCCTGCATGCTGCAGGCCACTGCAAGAGGTGGAGGCTACGGTGGCCGGAGATGCTCTTCCACCAACATTTGCAGGAGATAATGCTGCCCGCTTCTTGTTTATAGTGTTACCTGAAAGTGAGAACAGGCGTTTTCATGGCACTGTTGTAGCCAGCATCACAAGATGTTTATGTGCCAGATGCGCTAAAGATTCATATGTCCCTTAATGCTTCAACCACCATTCCAGAGGACATGCGTCTATGCTGATGATGGGTTCTGCTCGTTAACAATCCAAAGCAGTGCTGACTGACGCATGTTCATTTTCATTATTTGAGTCAGATGTCACCAGCAGAAGGTTGTTTTTCTTTTTTGGTCGTTCGGATTCTGTAGTTTCCGCATTAGAGTACTGCTCTTTTAAGGCTTCTGAAAGCATGCTCCACACCTTGTCTCTCTCAGATTTTGGAAGGCACTTCAGATTATTAAACCTTGGGTCGAGTGCTATAGCTATCTTTAGAAATCTCACACTGGTACCTTCTTTGCGTTTTGTCAAATCTGCAGTGAAAGTGTTCTTAAAATGAACAAGATGTGCTGTGTCATCATCCAAGACTGCTATAACATGAAATATATGTCAGAATGCAATAAAACAATTCTCCCCCAAAGAGTTCGGTCACAAATTTAATTAACGCATTATTTTTTTAACAAGCATCACCGGCATGAAAGCATGTCCTCTGGAATGGTGGCCAAAGCATGAAGGGGCATACGAATGTTTAGCATATCTGGCATGTAAATACATTGCAATACCGGCTACAAAAGTGCCATGTAAATGCCCGTTGTCACTTTCTGGTAACACTGTAAACAAGGCAGCATTATCTCCGGTAAATGTAAACAAACTTGTTTGTCTTAGCAATTGGCTGAACAAGAAGTAGGACTGAGTGGACTTGTAGGCTCTGAAGTTTTACATTGTTTTTGAGTGCAGTTATGTAACAAAAAAAATCTACATTTGTAAGTTGCACTTTCAGGAGATAAAGAGATTGCACCATAGTACTTGTATCAGGTGAATTGAAAAATACTATTTCTTTTGTTAATCATTTTTATTGTGCAAATATTTATAATACACTTTGATTTCAATTGCAACACAGAATACAATATATATGAAAATGTAGAAAAACATCCAAATTAGTTAATAAATTTCAGTTGGTATTCTAGTGTTTAACAGTGCAATTAAAACTGTGATTAATTCACGATTAATTTTTTTAATCATGATTAATTTTTTTGGAGGTAATCGCGAGTTAACTGTAATTAATCGACAACCCTACTTTCCATTCAATTATCCCAGCTCTATTTTTTGATCACATCAGCACAGAACAAACATCATTTCTTGGGTACTGTCTTAGGACACTCACCTTTTAATGGCTCAACTCAAACTCTGCCGTTTTGACGCTTTGTCTTCTCCACACTCCTCCTCCTTCATCATTTTCAAAGGGTTTCTTTCAAGAGCACCTTGTCAGACCTTCTTCCACTGTTTCCTGGAGTGCCTCAATAGTCAACAGCAGCTCCCCTTCTCTTCAATCATTATCATCCGCCTGTGTATGTGTGAAATCAACAGCACTGTATTTATGAAGGCAGAGAATACTATTCTTTTATTAACCACTAATTATCTTTCTTTTGTCTCCGGTATTCTTTACTCAGAAAAAGCACATGAAATAAGGTATCTTAACAACAATTAGAATTCTATCTTTGTCCAACTTGCTTATACCATTTTTTCCCTTCCAGCAAATTCAGTCCATCTAGTAGCTAGAGATCAGAAGGGCTTCACTGACCTGTGACATGTCTCCCAAATACCCAGGAGTAATACTTGGTGTTAACCTTCAATAAACGGATGGATTATATTACAAATAATAAGGTGGCTAAATATAGGGCATTCTATGAATTAAACATTGCCTAACTTTGCGTAATGCTAATTTATTCTGGCATATCTTGATCACTGTGATGTAGCTGTGTCCTTCTCAATGCTTTTTAATTGTCCAGTAGTTGTCCTTTATAATCCAGCTGCTGGCTATAGTGCAATATACAGTAATCCATGTCAACGCCTTTGAGAGAGATATATGTCTATATTAGACACAGAAAGGGTTACCACTTCCAATCAAACCATGGCAAAATTCAGCCTATTGAACTGATATAAACATCTGTCATTCCAGAATAATTGGATATGTACAATAGGCTCTGTAGACTAAAAGCTTTGTTTGAGCTCTTAAGTGGTAAAACTTCAAGAGAAATGAGGTAACCTGCTATGTTATTAAGAATAATAAAATTCATGTATTATTTGTATTACATTAGAGCCTAGAGGTCCCAGCCAAGATCAAGGCCTCCTTGTGCTAGGCACTGTACAAACACATAGTGAGAAACAGCCCCTGCTCCAAAGAGCTTGCAGTCTAAATAGACAAGACAGAAAAACGACAGGAGGAGAAACAGAGAGGTGACTTGCCCAAAGTCACATAGCAGAAGTGGGAAGAGGATCTGTGTCTCCTGGATCCCATTCCAGTGCACAATCCACTGGACTATGCTGCCTCTCTCTTTAGGTATTGTAATAAGTTGACAGTACTGCCCCATATGAATATAAGGCCAAATCCTAAGCACCTGTAACTCAAGTCACTTGGAGTTCCACATGCTCAGACCCTCTAAAGATTTTGCCTAGAATTAGGCAAATGTTTCCTGAACCAAAGATGAGACAAACACAATATAAGACCGGAGACGACAGTTTGGGGGAGGGAGGATATGGGAATGGTTACCAATAAGAAGGGTTGGTTGAATAGATAGATTTTTAAAAAGAGAGAGAAGGTGCTGAAGGGGTGAGAAGGAACCTGTTCCAGGTGGATGGGGGAAGCATACTACAGGGCACAAAGCTTAGTAGTGAGCGTGTGCTGATCATTGCACAGTGCGGGAGGGCACTTAGCTAACTTGTTCACTGCAGTGACAAGAGGCAGAGTTTGTAGAGATTACCCTGCTATAAATTTGTGAGGTGCTTCTATACCAAAGTGATGGGTGCAGTATAAAAACCTGGACAGAGATGGATGGTGATATTTACAACAAGAGCAATACTTCTATGCCATATGACTTTGAACTCACATGTTTATTTCAAAAGCATCAACGTATTTGGTGCATTATGAACTCAGCACTCTGTTGAAAAGAAATGCTGTTTGACTTTGGAACAGGCTCTCTCACTCTTTTGACCTATTCTTCAGAAATATGTCTACCCCATAGAACTAAATCCTGTGTGAGATTCTCAAAGACTCTTAGGGGAGTTAGGTGCCTAAATGCCATTTGTGCCTTGGAAAAGCTGCCCCATTACATAGTTCCATAGGTGTTTTCTTCACAGAGCAGAAAGGGAGAGAAAGACATGGCTAATCTTCCTCTCTCCATTCCCACATCTTGACCAATTTGTTCTCTTCCAAGCCACAAAACAGACCCAAGAAAATCTTGCTAGCATTTTCATCCTCCACATCGTGCCCTCAGCAAGCAGGTTGGATCATCAAAAATTGCCTGTTCACCCACAGGATATTCACTCAGCCCCTGGTTCATTTCTTATGTTCTAAAGCAACCTGAGGATGGCAGAATGGGGGGAAGAAGCAAGGGGGGGGGGGAATATACATTTACCATAGATAATGCAGCCAATCCACAGTAGATCACAAAATATCCTAGACCAAAATGGTAGACAGAGGCTTTCACTTACTACACTTCTCTGTAGGTCCATGTGAATCAATTAGCCAAATCCTGCTCACCTTCCTCACATGCTGAAATCAATGAAAAATTCACCTGAGTTGAATAAGGAGGTGAGGAGGTTTTGACACCTTGGAAATTCTGTCTTTGGCGCTAACCATTTGTCTTTACATTTCTCCCACATTTTGGCGATTCTATACATTTTTGAACATTTTGTCACTTTAGCTCTGCAGGCCAGGAGAGTCACCAAGGCTTGGAGAATGGAAATAGGACCCTTCTGAGCAATCAACAAGTGTCACCTCAATGAAGCAGAGCTGTGCGACTAGCTCAATAAATAAACAAATACATTTTCTGAACAAGGAGAAGAGCATCCCATGACTTTTGGTCAACCAAGGCTCATTAAGGAAGCCACTTCCATCCATTTACCCCCATGTTTACTAACACTGTACACTAAAAACTCTAAAAAGCCATCTGCAGAAAAGGAGAGATCTACAATGTATAATATAATAAATACTGGAAATTGTATGTTTAATTCATATGGCAAATTACCAGAGATTACTTGTACAAGTAGCTGCAATGTCCTTAAAAATATTCTTTAACTGAGGAAAAGTTTTCTGACCTTTCGAGAAAATGCTTGCTTCTAGCTATGACTAAAAAGAGATTTCCTTCTTTCTCTGTTGTGTTAAGAATCTTTTCTTCTTATAAAGAAGGCACCACAGTGGTTTATAACTGTCATAAAAGCCAGCAATCCTTTTGAGGTTAAGCTACTCAGCTATTCAACTTTTACTACAGAAACTTTGAAATTCAAAAAGAAAAAATAATGTAAGTTTTTGAAGGACATGTGTTGCTGTAGGTGATCCTGTTAATTAAAAGTGATTGCCTGCTAGGAAATCATACTTTAAAAAGTTTCATGAATTTATTAGAACCCTGAAGGTATCTTTGTATGCACAGGGCTTTACATGCCATTTATGCAATTTTGTTTCAGATCTGTTTAAAGCTTCCCTGACACTCCCAGAGCAGAGAACAGCACTGCTAGCATTTGTATGTATTTTGGCTAATTGAATTATGTGAAAATACATACTAATGAAGCTTTACCAATGATGTTTGCTACAGATAGTTTAAGTCCCGTTTTCTTCTGTATTAGGAGTATATTTTTGCTGTGGATTTACCTTTTTGGAAAGACATAGCTTCCTACAGCCTTTTGTGTAAAAAATGACACATTTTATAGTATTATACATTAATATACGCATAGCTTTTTTGTAGCAAGAGATAAAGAGAGGCAGATAAAGAGTAGTCAATGATATGAGTTAAAAATACACTAGTCTATTCATAGTAGGTAAACAGAATTTAGAATGCAAAACTAATGAACATCTATTATTACATTTTGTTTCAGTTACTAGATGTACAGATTGTTTTTTCATTTGTCATTACTTAATTATCCATTTCTGCACAAATCCATTTGGGAATATCCCATATAGATTTTTCCTCTCTAATGCTTTGCTATCCCCTCAGACTGGTATTTGAGGAATAAATTATAGAGCTGGAGCAGTTGCTTATTTACTTATTTACCTGAACCATGGGAACTATTAAAGCAGACTCTATTTGCTCTTGAGGTGTGCTGGGACTCAACCCCCACACATCCAAATTGACTCCAACTATCACAGCTTTGTCAGTGCCTCACAAGAGCAATCAGCTAATTGCCTAATAAGAATTTAGATCAGGTATTTGATGCTCACATTAGAAAACAGTTTGTTTTTTTCTTATTTATCATGTCATATTGTGCTTCATGGTAACGTTGCATGGAACATAAACTAACCTGATGTGCAGGCAGCTCTCTGCCTCGGTTCAAATATTGGGAAGTTAAAAGGGAAAAAAAAATCTTCTCTCTCTCTCTTACCAGCAAAGAAAAAAAGAGTTCTAGAAAAGTAAAGTGAAATCTACAAAAGTTCATTATACACGTTGATGAGTGTGTATGCATGTAGTTGTGTTTGTGCTTTGGAATATGTTGGGTTTTTCAGAGAAATGCATGTGATCCAGTCCTACATGGGAGTTATCAGTGTCAGTAACCATTAGGGACCAGATTGTGACCTCAGTTACATTAGTGTAAATCTAGAATAGCAGCATTCACTTCAGTGGAGTTACTTCAGATTTACACCATTTTAACTAAGATCCCAGTGTAGCCATACACAATATACATGCTTTGAGAAGAAAGAAAACATTAAAAGAGGGGGGAAATTGCCATTTGGTATACTTTAGTCATATTTTTAGAGTTATTTTTAAATAAAGCACCATTTTTGTTTCATAAAGACCATGCACCTGGTTTCCAATAGTGCTCATTGAAGTCGATGACAGTGCCTTTAAAAATCAAGCTTTTTATTTAGGTGTGTCTATATGGATTGCAGAGCGTAAGTATAGGTTTGTGAATTTTGGCCATATTTTATCTCAGACCTTGCATTTATCTCCTATCTCCAGAAGCAACATGATGGACAGTTTGCCTTTTGTGAATAAGTGATGAAAACATTTGTACATAGCAAATACCTAGAGTTTACATTTTTGGAGGGGAATATAAAATGCAGAGACAGAAGATTTTAATTTTTTCAACCTTCCATTAATATTGCTACTATGGCTCTAGACTATGACATATTTGTGGATTAGATAAATGTGTCCACTCAGCTGAATGACTGAGTGAATAACTAATGTATTAATGTGCATGCAATGTGCACATTTATTAATGTGCATCTGCCAAGCCTAGTGTAAAAAATTTCTTCTATGGACATTCTTTTCTGTCAAGAATTATATGTTTTCAGGCATCAGAAACAAACTCAGTTCCCCTCACCCCCACCCCAGTAATATAAACCAAACAAAAAGCAACCAGTCAAATAGCCATTATTGGTATGTCAGCTAATTTCATCATTAATCAATCATTCACTCACCTCATTGTGATACTAAGGTGTCTCATGAGCCTTACCTCAGAGAAGCTTGCAGGACATGAAGAGGATTTTGTACAGTCATGCAGAGCATAAACATAACATGAAAGAAAGATATCTCAGGATTATGCAGCAACTGTTTAACAATTAATATTAATTATTAAGCAGATTATTATGGAGCATTTAGAGTAAAATTCAGCTATTAGCTGATAGAAAATTAAGCATGTTTCCCCTTTATTTTTGCTTTTCATTTAGTTTTTCTTCTTCTTGTGTCTAGATCTTTGGACTCCCCAGTACTAATATCTTGTAATTCTGCAATAGGGGTCAGGGCCAGGTCAACTACAAGTTCTCTGACAACACTTCATGCTCAAACACTCCCAAGCTGTTTTGCTCGGAGTGGTGGGGGGGAGACACCCTGGTGTTGTTACCAAATGCCAAGACCCTAGTTGAGATGCAGACAATGCTTCCAAGCTCCCATTATGTTGTTTCAGCCCTGAGCTCTGAAGAGTATCGATAAGGGGCACAAAATAAAACAGGGAAATCAAGAGACAGGGAGTAATAGACCTGTGGATCTTTGTTACTGTTATATTTACAAATAACACAAACCATTGAGCTGGGGGGGCTGGACTTTGCAGTTCAGCATTGGCCTTGATTACATTATCATTTCTCATACGTGGAAAAAAGCATATTTGAACATTGATACAATGAAAGTGAATCAATCACAGTTCCTGTATTAAAGAGTTAGCCTCTCCATTCCCCTGTAAAAGTGTCAGCAGTGTACGTGCATTTGTATAGCTTATCCATCTGAATCAAAAGTGTATTCTATATGTGTTGAAAGAGAGAAACTTTTTGTGCCCTGGGTTATTTTTATGTTGTTCACAGTACCTCCTCTCTGTTCTCATGCCCTCTCTATATTGTGATTACAGCTGGTCAGAATTTTTTTGTCAGAACACTTTTTTGAACAAAAACGGCCTTTTGACTAAAATGAAAATTTTCACAGAACTGTTGGTCAAAAAGAATCTCCGGAACTAGAAATTGCTTTTGGTGACATTTTTTAGCTTACTGTAAAAGTATCTGGTTTTGATTATTAAACATAAAAAATGTTATCAAAAGCCAAACTTTTTTTACTGAAAAGTGGCATGTTTTTCATCAACTCCCCCCCACACACACAAATCACAGGAAATTTTAATAAAACTAATTGTAAAAAAATCCTGAGAAAGATCATTGGCATTGTTTGACTATAGCTAATTTTGAGCCCTTATCAAAACGGTGATTTAACATTTTGAGTTAGAGTGAAACCTGCACTGAAAACCATCTTTAAAATACAACCCTCTACCTCAAGAGAGTGCTTCGAAGTATCCCCAGGATTTCCAGGATATTTTTCCTTGTTCTGCAATTAAAAACATGTGAAAATTAATTTTTTTTCTCTAGTTCTTTGCATCCCAAAAAATCCCCAAACTGATTTTCAAATTGTACATTTAGGAATCACTTCCCCAAGCAATGAAATGCAGCCGTCTCTGGGGTGGAATGCAGCCACTGTTTAACAAAACACACAACACAAAGAGCAGTTCAGGACAGGAAGTGAAGAAGAATAACTTCTCTAGTTGAAAATGGAGAGATTATGTAGAGATGGAATATAATTACCCAAAACTGAATCTTAAATATTCTGCTTCATCCGATTTTCTGGATTTTCAGTCTGTTTGCTTAGATTTAAGTGTCAGAAATGTAATTTAAAAGAAACAGAATAAGAAGACAGAAAACATTGGAATGAACAAGAACTATTGCACAGCCAGTGTTAAAAAATGTCTCTTTGGGCTAGACTGCGGCATTTGTGCCACTTCCTGGTGTGGGGGATAGTGCACAATCTCTCCTGGGAGGTCTCAGGGTGTGCACAGGATAGAAGCAATCTACTCCATCAAAGTACAATGGAGCAGATTGTTCCATACAGTGCACCTAGCCCACTCCATGGATGAGTTTGAGATGGGGAGTTGGTATGGCCTCTTCAGTCCAACACTTCCTGTCTTCAGGCAGTCCGGAGTCCCAAAGGAATGAAGACTCAGCTCCCAGCCACACAAGCAGACGACTGGCCAACTCAGAGTTGGGGAGGAGGTCCCCTTCTGATAATCACCCCTGCCGAGCCACCATGGAGTGGCAGTCCCATCACCCAGAGTCCTCTTCTGTGGTGGTGTTAGTCTCTCCCCCCCACGCAAAAGGCTTCAGAGTTAAGAACTCAGTAAAATAAATGGAGCATTCATCTTCCCCAAAAGATAAGGCTTTCTTCACTCACAATTCAAAACAGAAACGTAAGGTTTGGGTCAGGCAAAAAAAAAGCAGAGAGCTCTTTGCAGCCTGCAGTCCTGATATTATAACCTCCCCAGCCTCTGGGGGACCAGGTAACAATAGGATTTGATATACAGCAGGAGTTTATTTGAGGGATGTTGACAAGCCTAATTGCTTGGCTGCCACCACCAGCTGTAGGGCCTCTGGCTGGCTTGGGACAGGGGTTTAATTAACTCTTGGTTTGCCAAGTTTATGTAGGGTTTGCATTCCTCATCACAATTGAAAAAGTGACAGAAAGGTTGTAATGACCAGAGGCATATAGTGAGTGGCGAAAACTGTTCCTCTAAAATGTGCAAGTCTCTATACAGAAAGAGAATAAGGAAAATGCTGAAAGGTTATAACAGTATTAGGGGAATTAGTACTAGATCAAAATGGTTAGTGAGCCTAGAAATTGGATTTCTGTGTGAGTTCTCAGCATGGTGAAAGTAATGTGAAGTACTGCTAGCTCATGCCAGAGCAGACCTTTTTTATGTGTTATTCAGACGGCTTGTCACTTGAATAGAAGTGATCAACCAAGGCAAGAATACCATTACAAATTGTTCTCCAACAGAAACAATGAGTCAACTTCTCTTAGCAGTCTCTGTGCCATTATTCCTCTTATAAGGATTTTACTGAACTTTGATCATTTTAGAAGAAGCAATTTTGGCGAATATATGGAACAGGTGACAGGAGAATACAGATCAGAAGACTAGGATTGCTTATCATGACATCAGGCATCACAGATGTTAGAGTCTGCATCATTTCTACCCTGCAGATGTGGGTAATTTGTAAGTCTAACAGCAAAGACCCTACAGTAGTGCATAGGCAGGTTAAAGTTGCTGTGGGAACTTTAACTGTACATTTCCTGATGATTATAGTGATAGTGAAATCTCAATTTGGCATTAAAGTTGTGGTTTTTAAATTTAAATTTATAGTATCATATGTAGAAAATCACACACAAAAAACGACATTACTATTTTTGTTAAGGAGCTCCCACTTGATCCAGAATATCCCTCATTGTGCCTCAGGATATCACGTTAATACAGGGTATTTTGCTACCATTTTCAGGACCTGATTTTCAGGGATGCTGAGCATCTATAACTTTAGTTGAAGTCAAGATGGAGGGGCTCAGTACCTCTGAAAAATAGGCCCAGGTTGTATTAGCTACAATACCTTGCTTTTCTCATTTTAACATCAGTTTGAATGTATATTTTTATGATGTTTTAAGGCAGAGTATTAAACTGAATATATGTCGGCTCATCCATCTAGTATAATCTCTTGGACTGGATCCTACAACCTCTCCTTCCTTGTTTCAGACCTGGCTCCCCTGTATTTTCTCTCAGGAAAGATTGTTTCATGTCCTTTTCCTGGTGTTATGCCTCAGTGTATTCTTTCTGGGAAAGGTAGTCATCATGATTCAAATATGCATACACAAGAGATGTCTTCCTGAGCCCTGAGAACTCAGAAAGCTTCCTCTGCACAACTCATGTGATTGTGTTATCTTTTGGCTTGGATCAGTGAATCGCACTTGTGCATCATTTTTGACAGGAATGGCTGGGAGTGCTTATATATCCATCCACACTGTCTGCTTATTCACAGTATGTTTCATCCATACCTCTCATTGGGGCAGAGCTTTTGATTTTGCCTCCCCGACCAAGGTAATTTAAAATGCTGTATCTTTTTTTGTTGTTGTTGGCAATGTACACATTCTTAATATGACAGATCGTGGTCAGCTACCCACCAACAAATTAAAAGATCAGTTCCAGTAGCTACATGTGAGCTAACACACAGAAGGTGAGATTTTAGATAGTTGGTAAACTCAAGTATCGCTTCTGTTGGCTGTTATGGCACGAGAAGTTAATTTTCTACATTGCACTGAGAGTGCTGCGGAATACCTTTTTATCCATTTTAAATAGTCTCTTTTTTCATCATTTCTATCAGATAAGAGTACTTTGTCTTTGTTCACCAGGTAATAATAATAACTCCTTGTTCTTAAACACTTTTCATCAGTAGATTTCAAAGTGCTTTATAAAGGAGGTCAAGAGGGGGGAAACTGAGGTATAGGGAGGTGATGTTATTTGCCCAAGGTCACTCAGTAGGTTAATCGCAGACTAGAACCAAGGTCTCCTGAGACCTATTCTAGTATGATGTGCACTAGGCCATACCAGCTCCTATTTGTTGTCTTGCTGGGCTTTTAATGTGCTGACACGTTGATGTATAAAGCTGAGCAGTTCTAGCATTCAATATACAGTATAGAACCAACATGATTAGATACAGTATGACACCTCCCCAACTGTGTACTCACGTAAATCCGTGTGCTTATTTTTATTCATTTTCTTCCAACTCAATCAAAAATAGCAGAATAAGATAAAAAGGGATGCTGCAATCCTGATGGACCCCACCCATTAGTGTTTCTCTGTGAATTGATATTTTTTGTTTGTTTTGGTACTTTTAATGCAGCTCTCAGTGTCAAGCTATCCTACAGCATGAGCAGCACAAGATGGCATTCATGCCAAGACAGGAGAGGGTCACAACGTTAAGGAATCTGCCAGTGTTGCCTATACGATACATAGCTGATAGGAAGGGGGAAATTTTCAGTGTAGTGCAGAGGAATTAGACATTAAGAGATGAAGAATAGTGGCCACTTAATTCCATTCCCCCTGCCCATAAATATTGTTCCCAAATAGTTTGAAGCAGAAATAATTTGAAGAGCCAAAGGCCTTGTCCAATGGGCTGAGCACAAGCCTGAGACACAGGGATCCTGAATCTGGTATTGACCCAAACTATGGCCTTGAGTGAGTCATTGTCTCTTCTTTGCATCAATTGACGCATCTGTAAAATGGGAATAATAACTCCCTTGCCTCCCACTTGTGTGGTAACCATTAGTTTGCTGATGCTTTTAAAGACCTTTAGCAAGGTGTGTGTGGCTGAAGCAGGGCATTTAGGGTCTTGGATTCTATCCCCACCACTGCCACTGACTCACTGACCCGAAGCCCGTAGCGCTCGGCTCTTAAACAGAGCCGAAGAGTCGGGGAGGAGCAGAGCTGCCGCGGCCGGAGGCTCTGCTCCTCCCCTGACTCTTCG